GAGAGAAAGAACCCCAGAAGAATAGCTACCTGAGTTTTTTATGGAAGGGGACTCCCCTTCCAAACAATAACATCCCTCCATCCCTCCTCTCCATAGCCAGTCATCAATAGCGCTCAACGTTAAAGGTAAGTTCTAGTGTGTACGTAAATTTTCGTTTTTTTACTGTACATTTCATTTCCTTTGTGTTAAAGTTTCACTTACATTTCATGTTCTTTTGTTTTTAAAGTGTTTATTTATATATTAAACAGTACATTAGACATGTACTGTATATAAGAAAGATTAAACAAAGAATCATTTAGGGGTTTGGAACAGATTAATTCAATTTACATTATTTCTAATAGGAAAAAAATGATTCAGTTTTGAACAAATCATATCTTGAACAGCCTTCCGGAACAGACTAAGTTCAAGAACCGAGGTGCCACTGTATTTCTAATAATCTGGCTAGCTATCATACTTTTGCTGGCTTTGGACAGAAAGCTAGTACCACTATAGGACTAATTCAATGGTGCCCACCCTCTCCATCAATCCATCATAAAGAAGTGCAATATACAACCAAAGACAAATCCAGCAATAACAAACTTAAAGCAACTACCCAAATGTGACTACCTAAGCAATAAGCCATTAAACAAGTCAAAACGGGGGTGAGGGGTGCTGACAAAAGGGTAGATATTCAATTAACACTTGTCTGAGCGTCACCTAGATACCTAGCACAGTGATAGCGCTGATGAGAGACCACAGGAAGGTAATAAGATACACAGTCTTTGCCTTATCTTCCCAGTAAGATAAAGTACCACAAGTGAAACATTTAGAGAATAAGACAGGTGTCAATCTGGGTCTTAAAATAATAAATCTTACCGGAATTCAGAGAGAACAAAAAAAACCAACAGTAAGGGATGAAGAGCCAGGAACTACACAGATCAGGAATCAGACCAGGACTTCTCCTTGAACCCACCTCCATTTAAAAGATTTTTAATCCCAGGTGTAATTAACCACAAATGTAACCTAACAAGTCACTTCCCTCGGTTCCCATTAGGTCTGTTTCCTTATGTGCAAAGTGAGGATATGAGATTCAAAGAGGAGTCGCAGGTCACAGTTTCTAACCTGTGACCTGCGAAAAGGACCGTACAGGTTAGAGGAGTGATTAAATCTGAAATTCAGCTATAAGAACTGCATAAACATCTAGTATGGATATATAGGATATTGCCTTAAATGCAGCAGAGTATTTGTGCTGGGGTGGATCTGGCAAAGAAAGACTGGGCCAAACCATGAGGAATCCAGTTAAAGAACTGGGATTTGCCTCTGTGTCAGGCAATGTAGCCTCTATTAAAACTTTCAGGTTAAACTGAAATTATATCTCTGCCAAAGAACTACAATGTGTAAAGTACAGAGGGACAGCCACAAACTATAACAGTACAATGAGAGACTTAAGAAAACAAGATTTAGTAATTCAGCATAGCCATTGACCACTAGGAAAGGCCAACAGTCAGGCTGTCATAATCAGAGATGAAACAGTTTGATTTAGCAAAGGAATTAACACAGCTCACAATGAAAGGCAGTTCCCTCTTAAAAAATCATCCTTGAAAATAGCAGCCACCTTCACTAACCACACAGAAAGGCACACAACAAACATTTTATATCAGTCTTAGTTACAGTCGCAAGTCGGGGACCTTCACACAGGAAAGGAAAAATTATTAGATGGTGCTAAAAATACTGAATAAGCCCCTGCACTTTTACTCCTATTTACTCAGTCAAATAATGTTTTAATGGGGGTGGGGAGGCGTTATGTTTTATAACTCTCAACTACATTTACCAATTAGCTGAGCTGTACTACTCAGAACTCATTCCCAAACTGGGGATAGACGGATTTCAAAAAACATGCCTCTCAACCAAAATATTAACCAGAGCTGTAATGCCCCCCTGGTTCTAATTCACCATACCTACTACAGCAGAACAAAAGTGGCACAGGCTGAACTTGTGATCTAGTTCAATGCAGACTGCCATCTGCTGCACATACACAGGATGTCTCCTATGCAAGATTCAACCTTAGTGTCTCTCAGGGACTTTTCTAAGAGCAAGTTGTTCCTGTATTTGCCTAATACATGGGCCTCAAACCAACATCTCCTTATAGAAGACTCCCATTCAAAGGGTTTTGAAATACTGATACTTTCCTAACAAACAATAGTATGAGGGAGGAGAGAGATATGAAGGAGCAACTGCACTTTATAACAAGAACACAACACGGGGGTCAAAATATCTGGGGGGGTGGGAGTTCTAAAACTGTTACATATTAGCTGTGTAATTCTGACCAAGTCTCTCCCATTCTGGAGCTCAATTAAATCTCTAAGAGATACCAATGGAGTCTTGTGACGAAATCGTAGAATAACAGATGGAGACAGCTGTATACATGATGCCTTCAGAGCAATCACAGGAAGAAAAAAAAAATTTAACACACACCTTTTTATATATTTTAAATAATCAGATTTTGGGGGGAAAAATCTTACAACTCTAAGTTCATTTACACGTCATCATTCCCATAACGCGTCTGCCCTTCAGAAATAACACTTTGCTTTAATTGCGCTTTCAGTTACAAATTCAGCACATCCCTTTTACCTACCCCAGAATAGCACAGAAGAACACTTTCATGAAGTACCCACACAAGGAAGGCACTCGCAGCCTGACAGATTCTCACAGTGGAAAATATACAAGGCACAAATTTTAAAAACGTCACATGAACACCACACCCAAGTAGTCTTAAAAACAAACTGTGCAAAGTCAGAAGATGTTTTATCCAAATATAGAGACAAAGACAACTTGGGAAGTCTTTAAATTGTTTGAGAGAGGGGGAAACACAATCAGATTTGGGGGGGGGGCAGGGAGCCTTATGTTTTTAAGAGAACCAAACACATAACTGGAGGCTAGGAAACATGCAAATCTAAGCTGAACTGTGAAGAAGCGAGGCTCCCACCCAAAATCTTCAGCAGAGCAGCATGTCAAGTCCGCCAAATATGAAGGGGTGCACTTTCCCCCCACGAATAACACGGGGCCCATACCTACGAGTAACAGTGACAATACCCTCTTGCACCTACAGGGCATTCCTCCTTTTCAGAGCTCTTTCAGACACTCAATGTGAGGCTGTGGTCAGTCTTGGGGTATCCCCTCTGAGAGCCCCAGTTCGGGTTCCTCTCAACAGCCCTGTCATCAGGAGGAGGGTTGAAGGTACCCGCGTCTTCCATCAGGCTGTCTGCGGCGATTCTCTCCTTGCACGACAGGACTCAGCCCCCGGGAAATAAAACCTACCCTCCTTCTCTCTGAACTGGCCAGAGACCAACCCATATGGGTCTAGAAAGTGCAAGGGAGGCGAACCTGCAGACTTGCTAGGTCTGGAACTCCATGGCAAGTTGATGTCTTTGCAACTGGAAAAAAAAAAAAAATCACGCGCACACACACACACACACGCACGCACTACACACCGAGACGGTTCAGACAAACTCCCGATCACCGCCGGCCAATGAAAGCCGGCGGTAACTGGCCGAGGCAGCACCAAACCCCCGACTCTGCGAACAACTTGTCCCCGGCGCCCGCGCCCACCGTCCCCTCCTCAGGCTCGCGGGGCAAGTTCCTCAGGCAGCCCTCCCGGGGACCACGGCGGGGCCGGCAGGACCTGAGGGGATGGAGCCAGCCTCCTGAAGCAATGCAGCATCCCTCGCAAGGGCGCCGTTCCCCGCGCCCCCGCGGGGAGTCTCCCGGGGGGGACAAAGTTTGGTTTTCCCTCCGGCCCCTCCCCGCGGGGCCGAGCGCGGCCGAGGCGGCGACCCCGCCGGGGTCCTGGCGGCTCTCCGGGGACGGTTCCCAGAAGCACGGCTCTGCCCCTCTCCCGACACACACGCCAGGCAGCCGCGGCGACTCAGGGCACACAAACCCGCCCGGGGAGGAGGG